CCTCCTCTTTGTGAGACTGGATACTGGTTCAGGTCCAATTGGGGTCTCCATGGCCTCCCTGAACAGAAGGACAGGTGACTCACCAAAGTTACAGGACATTTCGAGAGATGCTCCATAGTCCCCTGGAATTTGGTCTTGGAGGGCAAGGAGCAAAAGCTGTCCTTTAAGTCCCTCTCACCAGATTAGTATAGGCCTCAAAGCATGGCTGTTAAACGTCCAAGAAGGTTAGTTCAACCAGTCTGGTACTTTTAATTACCACGTGCTATGTAAATAAAGCTTGGGCAAAAACCAAATGTTCTCAGATAAAGCTTGACTAGACATATATTTTGTTACTTAAACCAGTTGACTAAACTATGACTTTAGAAATTTTAAGATTATGTGTATTTTCGTCTCAGCCTTTATACATCATTGCAAACCTACGCAGACCCTCATCAATTGCTTAGGCTGTCTCATTTTTTCTATTTTGGAAAATATCTCTATTCCCATATCCTTTTAACATCTGACATCTTTTATCTTACCATTCTCTTTTTTAATAACCATGAGACATAATAGCATTAACAAATAAATTTTCCATCTGTTGTGAGAATTCTTTTCTGGGGATATTAAGCAATGTTTTTCCCCTTTTTAGGTTGTAGTATCAAACCAATGTTTGATTACATTAAAGTTTTTCTGAGGAACCAATAAATTTATTGAGATTAGTTACAGAGATGACTGAGGGGGCGCTGGGGTATATGAGTGACCTGAGAGTATTTACACTGGAAAGCCTTAACCCAGCATGGATCAAGCCTTCTCTTCCTAGCCTTTCCCAGATAATACACTTTAGTCTTCTCCAAACCCAAGAGACCATGTATGATTAGGGCCAAATTACATACAGTTGGCTGGGAAGAGCAACTGGATACTCAGGTGAGGGTCAATGACCCTGATTACCCCTCCTCCTTTAATTAGATACTTAAGTCCACAAGTCCAACTGTGATGATCTTGTGTTAGTGGACACAGCTGAAGTCATGACGATGGTAGTTGTTTGACTCAGAAGAAAGTAGTGTGTAGGATGTTATTAAAAGAACATGGAATCTAGATTATATACATAAAATAATGTAATAAGTTAATATTACCCATGTTTTTATAAGTTTTCAGGTAAATCTTCTACCTTATGTAGTTTAGAGAGTGATCTATCAAAACCTTGCATTAGGTGGAAAAAAAGCAATTGGTATCCAGTCAAACATTATCGAATTGATGTTTATAACCTCCAGCATAATCAATTCTTTTGAATTATTAAAATTTAATAATTTTAATAATCTTAAATATATTATTATACTGTATAAACTTTGAGATGCCCTTGTAAGCCTTGAGCAGGTTTTAAACAACCAAGTCTCCTTTAAAGGTTTAGAGATGTTTTACATAGACTTGGAAAATGTTTATTCTATATAAAACATTATCTAAACATAGAGATAAATTGCAACCTGGAGCAGAAGCAATCATTCCTTAAAAGTTGATTTATTTTTTTAGTAGGAACCATGTTGTAATTTAACAATTTCAGTTTACAAGAGAACTTACAAGTCAATTTGATATCTAGTAAATTATTTGTTTTATTAGTATTAAATATAAATCTATACATTCATAACAGTCTCATTCAATAAATACTGTGGTTAGACACAATTTCACAACAAACCAGTTTCAAAACCAAGGCCTATTACCTTGATGAATTTTTTTGATCAGATGTATATGAAAGAAACTCTTAAAAGCCAGCAGTACTTTACATATACATCCATCCATCCATATATATACATATATATATACATATACATACAGATGTGTATATATATGAGAATCTCATCTCAAAATGGCTGTGTTGGACAAAGCCATACACACTGACGAGGTGAAAAGGAACAACTCGTACATATTTAAGCATTATCAAGTTGATATTTGCAGCTTTTAGCAGAATCAGTTAAGGAAAACTGATGTTTTAGTTACTGAGGAATTCTAGGCAGAAGATCTCTTTTCTTAAAAAAGTCTATCCTGTTGTTTATTAAGTAGTTAAATTTATCTTTGTATTTACCATACATTTTACATTAGTCTGTGTTAGTGACCAAATAGAGAACTCCATTAACTACTTTTACTATAGACAGTAATACCCTCTGTTGTAACAGTTTACAACTCCTTTGCTCTTAGGCTGTTTTATTGTTCTCCTTTTCTTGTCACAGGGTCAGGGGGCCAGCCTGAGTCTGAGGAAGTCTTTGGAGAATGAATATCTTGAGGTAATAGGCTTGAGTCTGAAGTGGGAGGGCCAATCCCAACTCCGGAGTCAGCATCTCAGTGAGCTCAAACAGCACGTGAAAATTTACCAATATAATTAATACAAAAAGGCATTTGTTCTTCTTTAGCCTAAAAGTTTTTAAAATTGTTTATCCATATTTTACTTTTAAACTAAGGTAAGACTGTTAACTCGCATGGTGAATTCCTTTGAAGAGGGCTGTCAGTCTGGATTGGAACAAACATTTTATAATTTATTATACATGATCTTGGATTAAGTACCCATGACCTGGGGATAAGAAACACAGAAAACAATGGAACCTAAAAGAAAATGCAAAGAGACAACATCATAATACTCTTCTTTTTAGTCTACCCCTGACATTGTAAGTAGAAGGTGCCCAGGGAACGATGTGGCAGGGACAAAAGCAAGCAGACAGCAACTGAGCGTCAGAGAGGGAAATACTCTGTTCCAGAGAAAAACAGGCTTAGACTCACAACACAGAAACGGGTAGCGATTGGGACCAGTGGGGTCTGGATCTCAAGTCTCCCATCCAAGTAGGCTATCCCTTTTAACCACTCATTGTTGTAACTATGTGTTGGTAGTAGCTTGTCACTTGTAAGGTTTTGGCCCTGGAGTACAGAAAATTCTTATCTGCTTCATAGGTCTAGTCATCACAGAGTGTCTGTTCCCTTTGCACCTTGAAGGCAAATGGCTGAAAGACAAGTTAGTGGCACTGGAGAAGTCCAGGCAGGCCCCCTGAAGCAAGAACCGGGTTTTGGCACAAGATGTATTCTTTTTAAAGTTGGGCGGGGGGGGGGGAAGTGGGAGAGCGGGACTGTTAAAACCTGTTCTCTTTAGAGATCAAAGGGGAAGCCTGCTGTGTTGGCCAAACGGTGGTGTTGGTGAGGGGGCAGGGCTATCTGAACATTAACACCTAGAGGGGGAAATGAAAATCTCGCAGTGTGCAGAGTCAGCTGAGAAGGCTGCCCCTGTCCCTTTTCCAAAAAGATTTGGCCAGCCTGGATTCCATGTCAGACTCGACCAATCTTGTGTCTGGCCTGCCCAGATTCCACGTCAGGCTGGGCCAAGACTCTGGGCTGGTCCCGCCTGGATTCCACATCAGGCTGGAGCATGACCCCCCCATCAGAGGAGGAGTTGGGGCGTCCCCCATTCTCCTATGGCTCTGACATCAATAGCATGTCTGCTGATCTCCACTGAGCCCCAGGATGTCTGGACTACCAAAAAGCAAGAGAGAGAGAGAGAGAGAGAGAGAGAGAGAGAGCAGGCAGGACTTATCAAGGCCTGCTCCGGTGGCACGCTCCTGTGAGTCTGGGGGCGGTGGTCTCTGTTCCTGATCCCAGACAAGCCCCCAAATATTAGGGTCCGAGAGTCGGGAATAATTCCCACAGACACGAAGGAAAAATGCATATAAATTTTATTCAGAGCTGGATGTGGTGGCGCACGTCTGCAGTCCCAGCACTTGGGAGGCAGAGGCAGGCGGATCTCTGAGTTCAAGGCCAGTCTGGTCTACATAGTGAGTTCCAGGACAGCTGGGGCTACAGGGAGACCCTGCTTCAAAAAGACAAAAAAAATTTTTTTATTCAGAAATTTAAAGTATAAAGTAACCAAATTAGTGGCTAGCCAGGCATGGACTGCACAAGCCAAAGATAGCGTCCAGCCCCAAACAATAGCAGGCAGGGGCTTTTATTGAAGAACTTTATACAAACCCACGTGCACCAAGCATCTTTTAGAATAATTGGATGGCCCCATATCCTGAGTACGGGGGAAGTTTTGATTGATGGGGCTGTCTTCAGGGCATTGGCATGTGCTGACTGATATCCTTAGGGCCAGAAGTTTTTGTTCATCCCTTATAAGGCTTTTATATGTTTATAAGGCTTTTATATGTTTAGGGCTTGCTTAATCTATAGCTTGGGGGGGGGGTAGCAACTGGAAAAGCTAGCCAAATGGAGTCAGTGCATTCTGGCTCTTCACAGCCCAAGCTTGCTCTGTAATCTCCTTTTCCTCTAGGATGAGGCCTATGTGTAAAGGATCCTTCTGTTCCCTTCTGGAAACCTCTGGCAGCATGCCTCGGTCTAGGCCTCTTTCCCAGGCAAAGAGGGCAGAAGAAAAGGTGAAGGTCCTGGGCTGAAACGCAGGGCTGGGGGCCTAGCTGCCCTCACAGTCCTTTTAGTCTCTGGGCTTGGTCTGATGGCAGGCCATCCTAGCCCTTCTCAGTCACCGGGCTGGTCCCTGCAGGTAGTGTACCCAGGAGCCACGTGGTGCTCACCAGCCTTGGGAGTTGTCACTGCAGCTCCTTCCAGCCCCAAAGGCTGGAGGGTGCTGAGCCCCTGCTCCCTCCTGAGCCTCCAGCCACGACCCGGTAGCTGAAATTTAGTCCTTCTGGCAAGGAGGCCAGGCTGCCTTTCCCTGGACCAATCTGGCTGAAGGGATCCAGGACTCTCCCAACAAGGCTGCGTTTGAGCTAGCCCAGCCCGGCCCCCAGGCCAGGTATCCCGCCCCCACGACTCCCCATCACAGGGCTGGGTGTTCGCTATGCTGGCTGGGCAGGAAAGAGGGGAGCGGATGGCAGCCGAGGGGCGCCCGGCCAGCACGCCTGTGGGTGGAGGGGCTGAGTCACCCGGGCAGCTCCAGTCACCTGCGTCTGCGGAGGGGGCGGGGCTGGCTTAGGGCGCTCCCCGGGGTGGGTGGGGCCCCGCCCGGCCTCCCTCCTCCCCGTGGGCCCCGCCGCCCCGGCCTCCCCGCCGCCTGCGGCCCCGGGTCTCCGCCGAGTTCCTCAAGCGTACGCTCCATGGCCGGAAAGTTGGTGCCGCTGCTGCTGCCGCTGCTGCTGGCTGCGCTGGGCCTCGCCGGCCTTCTGCTGCTGTGCGTCCCGACCCGCGACGTCCGGGAGCCGCCCGCCCTCAAGGTGCACTAGCCGGCCGGCCGGGCGCGGTCCTGGGGAGCAGCTGGCGGGGGCCGGGCCGGGCGGGGAAGCTAGGAGTGCGCGGCGACCCCGGCCCGCCCACGCTGCGCCTCTGGCCCGGTCCCAGGTCCCCCGCTGGTCCCACTGCGTTCCGCGGGTGACCGCGGCGCTTCCGGGCGCCCCGGGGTTGGAGGACAAAGTAGCGGGAACTCCCCGGCCGCTGCAGAGCCGGTCGGCGCAGAGGGGGAGCGGTCTTCCAGGTCCCTTCGGGTGGTTCCCGGCTCCCCTTAGCCCAGCGCGATCTGATGGGGGGGGAGCAGACACCCCGAGCCGCCTCCTCTTCCCTGAGTGACCACCCAGGAGTGCTTCGTTAGAAAAGCATCTCCCCAGATAGGGAGAAACGGACACTGGGGTCCACGGAACCCTCTCTGACCCATGTCGGGACAGGGCGACGGAATGCTGCCCTTGAAAGAGGAGCAGGGGCTTTGCTGGCACTAAAGGGATTGGAGCTGCTAGAAGGGATCTCTGCCACCCCCCACCCCCACCCCCACCCCGCACCTCAGAGGCCATTCCTTTAGTTTTTTATTGGACTTGTGCTGAGTATGTGTGTGAACTGGACATACAAGCCTCATGGGCCCAGGATGGGAAGGAGAGCTCTGTGGCCCTGCAGGACAGGGGATGTGTGTGTGTGTGTGGGGGGGTGTGAAGTAGTTGGGACCAACAAACCTCCCTAGTTCTGAAGGAGTTCCTTGGTGTGGGGGAGGACTGGAGCAGCCCTTTCCCAGGCTGGAACTGGCACTTGCCCCAGGCTGGTTTCCAGCCAGGCTCCCCCAGCTGGAGCCCAGGCCCCTGGTGCAGATTTTGGAAAGGGCCACTTGTAAACTGGGTGCCCAAGTTCCCTAGCCTGCAAAGAAGGCCCCTTTCAGCTCAGCAGAACCAACTTCTCCTTGTCCCTGGCTTTTGGGCCCAGGGAGTGGGGCATGGCTTGGAGGCCTCCACTCAGTCCCAGCCCCCTTCTTTCCCAGGGGCCCTTAGGAGTGCACATCCACAGGTTGGGCTGAGGTCAGAGCAGATACAGGCAGAATGATGGGGAAAGGAAGAGTAGCTACTGGGCTTACACTGCCCTGGACTGAGGACTTTGTACCCCCAGGACAAAGTTCCAGACGTGGTCCTGGGATCCTGTGCCTGGCACAGCCCCTCAGTTGCCCTCTTCAGGAAGGCTACTTTCTAGTACTTGACATGCTGGTGTCAGGTAATGAGGGGAGATCACTCCAGGAGCTCCTGGTTACTCTCTTTTCATACAAGCTGTGTCACCGTGGTTGCCTTTGGCCTTAGGTATAACATGTAGCTCACCACATAACAGGGTGGGAGTAGAGAGCTAAAGGGAGTCCCAAGATTCCTCAGGCTGACTTCCTACCCCCACCCCCAGTATGGCATTGTTCTGGATGCTGGCTCTTCACACACATCCATGTTTGTCTACAAATGGCCAGCAGACAAGGAGAACGACACAGGCATTGTGGGTCAGCACAGCTCCTGCGATGTTCAGGGTGAGCATCAGGTGTACCCCCAACCTCAACACCCAGTCCCAGCAGGATCTTGGGAACCCTGTTCTGCCTTAGCCTGGCAGGCTCAAGTAGTCATGGCCTTCTGTTTGGAGCTGGGCGGGGCTCACTTCAGGCGAGAGTCCAGAAAGAGAAGCTGGGTTTACTGGGGCTGGGAGGGGCTTGTGGGCACTTTGTGTCCTGAAACAGAAGCCCCAGAGAGCAGGTGGAATGCTCAGGGGGTTAGTGGCCCAGTACAGGCCTCTATACTGTAGATGGAGCAAGCATAGCTCTAAGGATCTGGGAGCATATTCTGGCAGGTCCAGTGAAGGATGGGTTGGGCTGACAATGCCCAAGTCTTTGTCCTTGCACCTGTGCCCACACCCACCAGGTAAGCGGCAGCCTCAGAGACTCTGTGGTACCTGAACCCTTTTGTATGTCTAAGCTGGGTGGGAGCTCAAAACCCCAGCCTTACTGGCCCATAGTAACCTGTGAACTATCTGCTAAGCCTGGGCCATCTCCTCTCTCTTCTAGGTGGGGGCATCTCCAGCTATGCAGATGATCCTTCTAGGGCAGGCCAGAGTCTGGTCAAATGCCTTGAACAGGCTCTTCGGGATGTGCCAAAAGACAAACATGCCAACACACCGCTCTACCTGGGAGCCACAGCAGGCATGCGCCTACTCAAGTGAGTACCTATACCTTGACTTGGCCCGGAGGCCTGCACAGCTCTTCAACAGCATGAGAAACCCTCCCCCTGTAGGCCCTCAGCAATGCCTGATAGTAGGATCATGGCCATCTGGGGAGGCGCTCTCTCAGAGTCCTCCTCCCCACTCCACAGCCTGACCAGTCCAGAGGCCACTACCAGAGTGCTAGAGGCAGTGACACAGACCCTCATGCAGTACCCCTTTGATTTCCGTGGTGCACGCATCCTCTCTGGACAGGACGAAGGGGTGTTTGGCTGGGTAACTGCAAACTACCTGCTGGAGAACTTCATCAAGGTGGGCCCCACAGCTGGCCAGAGTCTGGGGTCCTGCATGCCTTACCTGTCCACTGGCTGATCCAACCTCTACTTTCCGCAGTACGGCTGGGTGGGCCGGTGGATCCGGCCAAGGAAGGGAACCCTGGGGGCCATGGACCTGGGGGGTGCCTCCACACAGATCACCTTTGAGACAACCAGCCCATCTGAGGATCCAGCAACTGAGGTCCACCTGCGACTCTATGGCCAACACTACCGTGTCTACACCCACAGCTTCCTCTGCTATGGGCGAGACCAGGTCCTCCAGAGGCTGCTGGCCAGAACGCTCCAGGTGCCTCTTCACCCTCAACCATCCTAATGTACTGTTGCCTCCTGGAGGAAGGGAGGGAGAAGGGACCAAAGGCCCCAGAGCGGAGATAGTAAGGCACTTCAGACTAACCTCCTATGCAGGGATGCACACAGAGCTGAGGCCCACAGTGGGTCAGGCTTCTTTGTTGACCTCCCTTTGAAGCCCCCGACTTCCTCCAGAGCATCTTCCCAGGGCTTCTCCAGCTGGGCTTTCCTCAGCTTGAGTATGGGGGGAGGAACTCAGCAAAAGAAAGGTGCAGGAATGGGAGCCGAGAGAAAAGAGGGCCAGTGGTCATCTCACGGGGCCTTGGATGCCTGACTGGGAGGGTTGGAGTTTGTTTAGCAGGTAATGGTTAGCCTTGGATTGTTTATGAACACAGTTCATCATGCTGTTCCTCTGGGGTGGGGTGGGAGACAGTGGCTAGAATGGGGGAATTCTACGTGTACTCTGGTTAACCCTCTAGACCCATGGATTCCACCCCTGCTGGCCAAAGGGCTATTCCACGCAAGTGCTGTTACAGGAGGTCTTCCGGTCACCGTGCACTGCAGCCCAGCGGCCCCAGATGTTCAACAGCAGTGCTCATGTCAGCCTGTCAGGGACCAGCAACCCCTCCCTCTGCCGTGGCCTAGTGTCTGGGCTCTTCAATTTCTCATCCTGCCCCTTTTCCCGATGTTCCTTTAATGGAGTCTTCCAGCCTCCTGTGACTGGGAACTTCTTCGTGAGTCTAGGCAGGTGGAAGTGGGGGCAGGTGGCCCTACATGTCCGGGGTCTGGTGATGGTGTGACAGTGCCACCCCCGGCAGGGCTTCTCTGCTTTCTACTACACTGTGGACTTCCTGAGGACGGTGATGGGGCTCCCTGTGGCAACCCTGCAACAACTGGAGACAGCCACAGAGTTCATCTGCAACCAGACCTGGGCAGAGGTGAGGTCTGTTTCCCACCTTCTCCAGGGCTGTGCAGGAAGGCTTGGCCAACTGGTCTCACACCTTCCAGTCATGCATTTGCTCTACACAGAGAGGGACACAAGCCTTTCAGAATGCTGACTGCCATAGTCTAAAGAAATGGTCAGGCTGAAGTCGGGAGTTTGGGACTGGGTAAACTAGAATTTCAGTGGTCTTCTTGGAGGCCCCGTCCTACAACCAAGATCTGGAGGATAGGTGGAACAGGTATTGCAAAGGCTCTGTAGCAGCGGCGAGCTCAGAGCAGACAGGGACAGAGAGGCATGAGTCTGCAACAGATTGTGGAGGAGAATGACCCACCAGTGGGAAAGGAATACTCAAGAGAGACTCAGCAGGGCTTGGGGTGTGCTGTGAGGAGTTGAAGATGATGCCCTGTTGCTGGCTGCTGCCACTGGCTGAGCACTAGCTCCAGGGAAGGAAGGATAGAGGGGTCTAGGCACCTGGAGTATGTGGAGGCTGAGATTCCTGGAGAAATAGGCCCTATGCTAGTCTCAGTCACCCCGAGGGTCTCAGAGGCCAGGAGGCCAGAGAGCCACACTCCAGTCTGGACGTCTGTTCCTGTGACTATGGCCAGACACTGCTGCCCTCTGTTTCGTGGCCATCCATGCTGCCCCCTGCATCTGGCTTTCCAAGCACCAGTGCAGGCTTGGGGGCTTCGGGGGAGGATGCATAGCATCCCAGTAGTCTCATGGTTCATCCCAGGGAAGCGTGGCTTGGACTCAGTCTTCCTGCGTATTTCTGGCCATGTGCCTCCCTTGGCCTGCATTGTGGGGAGGGCACAGTACTGGGTTTACCGTCACTCCCTATGGTCCTCAATCCAACGCGGTCTTACCCTCTTCCTTAGCTGCAAGCCCAAGCACCGAGGCAGCAGACCCGCCTGGCTGACTATTGTGCTGTAGCCATGTTTGTGCAGCAGCTACTGAGCCGTGGTTATGGCTTCGATGAACGCTCCTTCAGTGGTGTGGCCTTCCAAAAAAAGGTGAGCCATGTGTGGGACCAGAGCTCAGGGGTGGAGCATCTCAGAGAGCTGATACCCCCCTACCCCCCAAACAGGCTGAAGGCACCGCAGTTGGCTGGGCGTTGGGCTACATGCTGAACTTGACCAACTTGATCCCTGCTGACCAGCCGGGGTTCCGCAAGGGCTCTCACTTCAGCTCCTGGGTTGTGCTCCTCCTGCTCTTTGCTGTCCTGCTCCTGGCCGCGCTGGTCTTGCTACTGCGCCAGGTGCGCTCTGCCAAGTCCTCAGGTGCTCTATAAAGTTGCAGAGAATCCTCTCCCACCTCCACAGTATCCCTTACCCTCCACTCCACCCCACTCCCATCCATAGCACCTCTGCCCCGAGGTGGCCTGGGAACCAACATTCAGATATCCACCCTCAGTCACCCCTGCAGACCCCACCAGTCAGCTCTGCCTCCCCCTCCAGGTCTCCCAAGTCCATGAAGCTGTCTCCAGCCCCAGGTTCTCAATGCTTCCTTCTCTCTTTCGTCCCTGGGTGTCAGATCCCTCGGCCTGTGACTCAGGGTGAGGTCTCCTGTGAAAGGGGCCTTTGTTCTGACCTCCACGGGCCCTGAGAACTTTTCTGTCTATAGTTGGGGTCTTTAGTGAGCAAGCCTCCAGAACCTACAGTCATGGAATCAGCCCATCAGTTCAGTGCCTACTTGTAAACATTTTGTAATAAAAGGCTTTTCCTAGAGCAGTGATGTATTCATTCACGGGGAGATCTCTGTTGTGGCCTTTCCTCCCTCCCCCCAGCTATGTCTGCCATTCAGACCTATCCCAGGTCCCAAGACAAAGCACTGACTTTCCAGCTTCCTTGCTTTCTGGACCAGATCCAAGACCATGAAGGCACTCCTCTTACACTGGCCTGGGGGAGTCTCTGAGTCTTTGAGTCTTCTCTGCCTGGCAGAGCCCCAACAAACCCCAGGTCCATGTCGTTGGTGACCTGGGTAGGACTTGGGGCTGGGCCCTGAGTTCTTTGCAACTGCAGAGACACCTACAGTGTCAGCAGCCATGCAGGACCGGTGGCACCTGGAGCCCACGGTGCAAGTTCTGTGTTCTCTAAGTGGAAAGGTGTGGTCTCTGCCCCCTGACCCCCCCCCCCCGCCTTGAGGTTTGGGGTCGTTGTTGGTGGTCCTTTGTTCTACACATTCCCTCCCTCCCTCCCTCCTTTCTGCCAGTCTTTGAGACTTTTTTTATTTTTTCTGAAACAGGGTCTCCCTGTAGCCCCAGCTGGCCTGGAACTCACTACATAGACCAGGCTGGTCTCGAACTGACAGAGATCCACCTGCCTCTGCCTCCCCTCCTTAGTGCACACCATACTCTGCCTGTTCTTTTTATTTTTATTATACAGGGTCTCACTATGTAGCTCTGGCTGGTCTGGAACTTGCTATGTAGACCAGGCCGGCCTCAAATACAGAGACACCTGCCTCTGCCTCCCGAGTGCTGGAATTAAAGGTGTGCACTACCAAACCCACCCTCAACCTTGTTCTCTTGATTTAGTCAGAGGGAAGTCTCTGGGTGGGATGGGGTGTTCCCTCAGGAGCTTGCAGGTGGGAGAGAGGCAAGCCAGGGCACCACAGATGCTCCATGTTGGGTGACTTCCAGGGAGCTGAAGGCCAGCACCTGGGACCATGACCACCTTGGACAGCTCCCAGCTGAGCGTCAGCGGCAAAGTCCGGTCACTTTTGCCCCCTGGTGGCCTCACTCGGGAACCAGCCTGACTGGCGTCAGGGGCGGTCTAGTTGTGAGCCGGCTGTTTGCGTTTATCCGTGTCTTCGAAAGCCCGGGTGCGTTCTTTGGGCTCAGCCGGTGCATCCCTGTGCACCCGTTTATCCTTTGTTTAACAGTGTGTTTCCCTAGTCTAAGGGGTGAGGGTTTGGCAGTCCAACCGCGGAGAGGAAGGGGCCATCCTGGGACTGTGAGCCAGTGCCAAGCCAGATTTCTGGGGGAGCGAGGAGGAGGCTGGAGGCGCCGAGGCACTCTGACGCGGGAAGAAGGGGACCCCAACGGGAAGAAGAGGGAGAGGGCTCTGTCTAGAGCCACGTCCCGCCCCCGCAGGTGGAGCGCGCAGGCGCACGACGTGAGCGCCGCTCGCCGCCGCTCCTCCATCCCGGATCCTTTGCCGCAGCGTCAACGCCGCCGCCGCCTCCTCTTTTCCTCTTCCTTCTCCGCCTCCTCCTGCTTCCCGGCTTCTCCAGTCGCGCTTCCCGGAGCCGGTCCCGAGTCCCGGGCCGCGAGGTGCCATGCTGCTCCGGCGGCGGCGCTGAAGCATGGCGACGCCGGTCCCTCCGCCCTCCTCGCGGCACCTGCGGCTGCTGCGGCTGCTGCTCTCAGGCCTCATCCTCGGAGCGGCCCTGAACCGGGCCACCGCCAGCCGCCCGGGTGAGCGAGCGCTCCGGGCGCAGGCTGCGGGGTGCCCCGGGGCCGGGCTTCCCGGGCGCGGAGTGCGGTGCGCGGCGTCGCCCTCGCCCTCCACGCCGCCGCCCTGGCCGCTCCCGGGCCCGTAGGCCACGCGTCCTTGTCTGCCGCGCGCCCCGCCTCGCCCGGGGTGGGTAAACAAGCCAGGCCCGCCGAAGGCCCGGCTGGACGAGTCTTCTCTCGGGTCCCCGGAGGCGAACGCCGAGCCAGACTCGAGGTCTTTTGCGCTCCTGTGGTCATCTGGCTCCGGGGGTCCCTCCTTGGGGATTCTGTGTGTCTCTGTTTCTGTGTCTCTGGGGCTGCTCCGGGTGCCTGCCTGCCTGCCTGCCTAGCTGCTCCTGTCCGCGTTGTCCCATACAGGCTTTGCTTTGCCTCCCGTGGTGGAGTCTGGAGGCTCTAGGTCTGCTAGGGTCTTGTTCTAACTTAGTGGGGTGAAGTTGCCCCCATCCCCTGCCTTGGAGGGCACCTGCCACCCTGTCTTCTGAACTGAGGTCTGTGGGTTGACTACTCAGATTGATGATGAGCCCAGTTCTGGGAGACCCTACTTGACAGATGGGTCCTGAGGCTGCAGAACCCACAGTACATCTCCCTTGAGGGGGTGAAGTGGGAGAGGGTGCCCATATGTTCACTGAGTTCTCCTGGCAGCCCTGTAGGGGAGATACTTTTCATCCATCTTACAGATGAAGAAACAGACAGAGGTGACTGGTATGTGGCACAACAGGGATGCCATCCTGAGAGATCTTATTCTGGATGTGTGGCCTTAAGAGCAGGCAGGCCTCCTCTTGAGAAAGCAACCCTAGACAGGAGGTTGGCATGACTGGAAGAGGTTCTGAGGAGAGTGGAGGGCCAGAGTAGGCCTTGCTAGAGATGGCAGAAGCCACCTGCTGAGAGCCTGGGCACTACATGGGCAGTACTGAACCCCTTGAGCTGATGCTGGCCTCAGCTCACTGGCCACTGCAGCTGCACACAGAGACCTGGCATGACCCCTCCCTAAGCATCTTCCCACACCCAATACCCAGGAGGGGCCAGTAGCCCAATGTGGGTGGAGTGCCATTGTTCCTGGGACCTCTAGACTGAAGAGAGTCTTTCTACTCAAGACTAAACAGGCAGCAAGCATATCCTCCTGCACTATGGTGAGGCACCAGTAGGCTGAGGGCTAGGAGGCCTTCTCTGGGCTTAACTACATTATCAGCACCAGAAGCAGAGACTGCCAGGCTCCCTGATGCCCAGCTGGTGGGTGGGGTCCAGGCAAGCCTTCTGGCACAGGCTTAATATTTAAGCCTAAACCCAGAGCCCAGCTCACTGATACTAGAGGCTGCTAACCCATCCTGTGGAAGATAGAAGATGTCTGGCCTGGAGCCACACTGTGTCTCCTAGGGCTGCAGAAGACTTAGTGTCAGATTACCAAGGAAACCGAGCCAGGCTAGCCAAAGTCTGGAGAAGGACATGCTGTCCACACCCCTCTGGGCCCTAGTGGCATTTCCTACAGTGTGGAGTGGTGACTGGGCTGATAAGCTGAAGGATCCACTTTGCCAGAGATACCCACCAGGCAAGGTTGATGGTCTTACTAGGCATTCCCTTGGCTCTGCTGGCTTGCTGAGATAGAGCCCAGGGTCCCAAGTTGGAAACATTCCTTAGCTTTGAATCAACTGAACTTGTGCGTCCTACAGGGGAAATTGAGGCACAGAAGGGGCCACTGCCCCATCTTTTAGCATCAAAATGGGGCTAATTGCCATGTATAACTAGAACATCATGATCTGGGCCCCAAAGGATATGAAAATGTGACTGAGAACTATGCCCTAGCCTGGTGTTCCCAACACTGCTCAGCCCAGGTCTTTCAGTTCTCAGACTGGGTCCAGCCAACTCCCTCTTAGGTCTCCCCAGCCCCACTGGCTTCTCTGCCTTGGGAACAAGCCAGAGACTGGGCAGGGAGAGCCATTGTCTTCCAGACTGAGCATGTGTTCCGTGACCTTCCAGGTTCTATCTAGAGTTGTAGGGTGGTGTGATAGGGTCTAGGGAGGAAACCCTGATGTTTAGGAGATGTCTATTCAGCATCCTTTTCTTAGCCAAAGAGAGGAGGGACCTGAGTCCTATCCTCAGAAGCAATCTGGATGAAAGGTCCCAGCTCAGTCTGTGCCACAAAGAGGTCAGAAGATAGCTTAGAGGGCTGAACAACCCTGCCCTGGAGGACTAGCTGGACAGTTAGGGTCCGTTTTCCTTTGAGGGCAGGGGTCAGGCCTGGAAGCTGGACTCTGGGGAGTGGGTGGGGCAGGGTAGTTCCCATAAGACTCGGGGACTGTTTGTTTCCTGGTTCTGAGACTTGGCAGTGCAGAGGAAGGGCCTGCCCAGAACAATGGCCGGAGCCAGGCCTGGCCAGCTCCGTTGGGGGAGGGGTTTCCAGCCTTGGGTTGTAACTAGCCCTGCCCTCTGCTTCCTCCTCAGATGCAGCCACCTGTCCTGGGAGCCTGGACTGTGCCCTGAAGAGGCGGGCAAAGTGCCCACCGGGTGCACATGCCTGTGGGCCCTGCCTTCAGCCCTTCCAGGAGGACCAGCAAGGGCTCTGTGTGCCCAGGATGCATCGGTCTCCCGGTATGCCGGAGTACAGATACAGGGGTAGTGGATGGGTGGGTGAGCGAGATGGCTTCCCTCCCTCACTGCCCTGCCCTGTGGGCCTGTACCATGAAGGACCCTATAGCTTTGGGAAAGTGGCCACCAGATCCCCTGAGCTTGGTGGGGTGTTCAAGTCCAAGGCCAGGGGACTGGCTCTCTTGACACTCTGGGAATAGTAGTCTCTTCATCCTTTCAAGATGGTACTGGCCTAGTGCCTGGAGCTAAGCTGAGGCCTAGGGCATTTAAATCCCCCTAGGGCAAGGGGGTGGGGGGGAGGAGAGGTCAAAGTGCTCCGTCTTGGACCCTGCTAGGTCTGCCCAAAACCCTTCCAGGTGTCCCCTTTTGCAGTCTCCGGGCAACCTGCTCTGCCGCCTCGCTCACTCTCCCTGTGTACTCCACACAGCATGTTTGGAAGTATCAGCCCTGTGCTAGTGGCAGCTATCAGTCTGGATGTTCCTTCAGGTGTGATGAGGGCTTTACCTCAGAGAAGTGCTGGGGATGTAGCCATGTAGGCTTCCTGGGAGGAGGTGGCAAAGAGGGGGCACTGAGAAAGGCCAAGCAGGACTGCTGTGGGGTGCCCACATGGGAGCTTATTTCTGGACTGAAGTACACAGTGTGAACCAATCAACGTTTAGCCGGCCACCTGCCCACTCCTACAGGTGACCTCTCCACTAGGGAATAGCCTGGATGTTTGGGCATGCTTTGGTCTCTCCCTACTCCTTGTGGAGTTACTCGATCCTCTTGGGCAGAAAAGGTGCCTGGGGGTCGGCCAGAGGAGGGACTGTGGTCCCAAGTGCTCTGCCCACCCCTTTGTGACACTAGCCAGGTACTCCATTCCCTTCCCTGCTTGTGGGTCTCTGTACATTCTCCTAGCCCTTCCCTCTCTCTGTACATCACCCCCCCACCTCTGCTTTTTCTGGGAACTGCTGGGGCTCACAGGAAGCTATCTAAGTTGTTACTATGGCAACCCCTAAAGCAGGTTTGGATGGGTTCCTCCATCTCAGAAGACTGCCTGCTATAGGTGTTGTTTAAGGACCTGGGGCCTCTCTATCTGATGGACCTCACCCTCCCCAGGGGAGGGCCTGCCCCAGCCCAGACTGGAAGAGGAGATCGACTTCCTGGCTCAGGAACTGGCACTGAAGGAGAACGAGGCTGGGCACTCAAGACTCACAGCAAGGCCTTTGCCTGAGACCAGGCAGAAGCTCCTGGAGCCTGGTGAGAGCCCTGCTCACCGCCCTGATCCTGCACTTCTGAACAAGGCGGGGTCCTGCTGACAGCCTGCTTTTCTCTCAGCAGCCACCCTGGGAGTCTCAGAGTGGGGTCAAGCACTGGAGCCAGGCCTCCCCTCTATGCGTGGCGCTTCCCCACCCACACCCCGTGCCTCCTTGGGCTCCCCTGTATCATCTGGGCCTGTGCACATGGCCCCGCTGGAGCCCCGGGGAGGGCGTGGAAATGGCCTCACCCTTGGTAGGTCCTGGGGACAAAGCTTGGTGGGGTGGCAGGCTCAGGGCCTTCCCCAGGCCGCCCCTTGCCATTGCCCTCCCTCCCACAGTGCTGATCCTGGCATTCTGCATGGCCGGCACCGCTGCCCTCGCAGTGGCAGCCCTCTGCTGGTGCAGGTGAGCCTCTGGCAGATAGGAGGGTGGGGGAGAGACTTGGTGTCTGAGCCTTAGCTCCAAACCACACCCCAACTCCAACGCCAACCTCTGCAGGCTACAGCGAGAGATCCGCCTGACACAGAAAGCCGACTATACCACAGCTAAGGCGCCCACCTTACCTACCACACCGCGAATCTCAGTGCGTAATTCCACCCTCATCTTGTGTCCCCAGCCTGCACTCGCCTGCGGGGTTTGACCCTTTCCTTCCTCCACAGCCTGGGGACCAGCGGCTGGCTCATAGTGCTGAAATGTACCACTACCAGCACCAGAGGCAACAGATGCTGTGCCTGGAGCGGTGAGGGCGCCCCACCCTGGTGCTGCCACCATATCTGCTGTGCAGCCACACCTCTCTACCTGTACTTGTTCTCAGGCCCCATGCCTCACTGGCCTCCCTTCCCCACCTGCCTGAAACCTCTTACCTCCAGGCCCGTCACCCCACCCCAACCCCACCCCAGCTCGCAGTTCCCCACTCAGAACAATATTATATTGAGTGCCTACCCCTCATCTGGGCCCCTGGCACTTGGAGAGTGCACAGTGGAACCAGCGATCTTACCCCCACCAGGCATAAGGAGCCTCCCAAAGAGCTGGAGTCAGCCTCCTCCGATGAGGAGAATGAAGACGGGGACTTCACCGTGTATGAGTGCCCAGGCCTGGCCCCGGTGAGTACCCCAGGGATGCTAGAGCGTCTCCTCATCCCACTCCTCAGGCCTCACTGCTTAGTGCTTGACCGATTGCCTTCACAGACTGGGGAGATGGAGGTGCGCAACCCACTGTTTGATCATTCCTCGCTGTCGGCACCCATGCCAGGCCCGGGTTCTTCACCCCTAATGCAGTGACTTGGAGGCTAGTGTCCACTCGCCTGCAGACCACAGCCCCTGGGTAGTGAGGAGCAAGGCCTGGCATTCCCCATTGAAAAGAACACGCATTGTGACCCTCTGCGTGCTTATGGCTGGGAGAGGCACCAGCCCCTGGGGCCCCTTGCCAGAGAGATTCCCCACCTGGTGCGGGAGACCTAGCATCCGCTTGCACATCCTCTGCCCCGTCTGAACCCTCAAACTGGAGGGATGAGGCCGGGAACCCTAGAGCCCAGGCATGGATAGAAAGTTATGGAGACTAAAGCCAATTAAAGTCTGTTTCAAACCTGTGAGTGGCTTCTGTGGTTTGTTGATGATGTGGTTAGTCCTCAGTCATCCACCTTGCACCAAAGCCCTGGTGGTGGACAGAGTAGGGGGCCCTGGAACTGCCTCCTGCACCTCCAGAGAGAAGAGATACCTCTGTGAGCATTTAGAGACTAGAGGAGAGGCAGACACAGTAGAACAGCCCTAACCCTCTACACTGGAGCATCATCCTCCTACCATAGCTCTGTCCCAGAGTTGGGGGTAGTAAGGGCACATTGTAGGACTGGGCTAGCACAGAACTAGCCAGACTCTGAGAAAGGCCCCATTCTTTGGGATAAAAAAGGTTGGGAGGGGCTAGGGGGATGTCTCAGTTGTTGAGAGGGCTGGCTACTCTTGCAGAGGACCTGGGTTTGATCCCCAGCACCCATATGGTGGCTAACTGTCTGTGGCTCCAGTTCCAGGGGATCTGACTCCATTGCCCTCCATGGGCATTGCACAACACAGGTTCATTTACATACACACAGGCATTACACTCACACATATAAAATAAAAGTAATAAATGAAAATTAAAAATAAAATAGGTTGGGAGACCTGGGTATGATGGCACATGGCTTTAATCCCAGCACCTGGGAAGCAGAGGCAGACAGATCTCCATGAGCTGGAGGCCAGCCTGGTCTACATAGGGAGTTCCAGGCCAAATGGGGCTCTGTCTCTCTCTGTCTCTGTCTCTCTCTGTCTGTCTCTCTCTCTGTCTCTCTGTCTCTCTGTGTCTCTCTCTGTCTCTGTCTCTCTCTGTCTCTCTCTGTCTGTCTCTCTCTCTGTCTCTCTGTGTCTCTCTGTCTGTCTCTCTGTGTCTCTCTCTGTCTCTGTCTCTCTCTGTGTCTCTCTCTGTCTCTCTCTCTCTTCTCTCTCCCCTCTCTGTCTTTCTCATTACTCTTCTGTGAACAAGAGTTGAATCCAAATTACACACGTGGCACAGTTGAGAGTGAACAAGGCTCCCTGCTCTTACGTTGTTAAACTGTGCCGTCCACCCCCTTTGCTCCCGTTGTAAGTCTCACTGCTCGGGGTTTTTCCTTTTCCTTCCTCTGGTGTCTCACAGAGCTTGAGAATCACAGAACGTTTCACATTTTAGCAAGAGCCTATGGAGATACCAGTGACCTTGAGGAATGAACATTCTTTGTAAGCAAGAAAGGGCAGAAGGCAGAGAAGAGACAAGGCCAGCGGCAGAGTTGGGTACAGACAGCGTTTATTCCCGTCACCCTAGCAGTCGAAGCATGCGGGGCCTGGTTTCTGTGGCAGTGCAGCGACCCTCCCTTCACCAGTTCTCTCATCCCCTCTCACTTTTTATATCTTTTTTTTTTTTTTTTTTTTTTTTTTTTTTTTTTAGTCTCTCTGTAGCCCCAGGTGTCCTGGAACTCACTGTGTAGACCAGGCTGGCCTCGAACTCACAAAGATCCACCTGCCTCTGCCTCCTGAGTGCTGGGATTAAAGG